CCTCAATTATTAGTAATGCAATTATATGATTTCTACTAAAACCTAATTACGAGCTTTAATCTCCAAGGGGAAGCTTCAACCCTCTCATCACTCTTATGATCCAGGAACCATCTATCATTTTCATCAGGTTTTCAAACCTCACAGCCTTACCAAAAACTGTATTGGTTGGATTCATTGCAACTTGGTTCTTTGCAGCATCACCGATCAACCTCTCTGTATCTGTGAAGGCAACGTAACTTGGCGTGGTCCGGTTGCCCTGGTCATTGGCAATGATTTCCACCTTCCCATGTTGGAATACACCAACACAGGAATAGGTGGTGCCAAGATCGATTCCAACAGCTGGTCCCTTCGACATCTTGTCTGGAAAAAATAAAAGAGAAAAAGAAAAAAAAATATTGAACTGTAAAATGGAGCTGAAGCATTTCACCGTTCCACCATGCTATGTTTTACCGGCACACCGTAACTGCGCCTCAGCTCCACACCGCGGCCTGAGGCCCCAACCACGTGGTGCAGCGCAAGGCCAGGACTACAACTCCCATGGCGCACCGCGCCATCCGCGTCACGTGGCCGGCTGCCGACATCTTGGGCGCCGGGAAATGTAGGCGCCGCGCCGCGGGGGCCGAACTTGGCACAGCCCCAACACGATCACGACCCCCCCCGCCCCCAAAACCCCCTCAGGGCCCCTCTATCCGCCAACAGAGCGCTCCCACAATCCCGCTCCGCCCTCCTTCCTCCCACTCGCATCCCCTTGGACTACAAGCCCCAGCGTCCACAGCCGCCCCGCGGCCGCCTCCCCCACGCACCCCCCCCGCCGCAAGGAACATGGGCGGCTGATCTCCTTTATCTCTCCTCCTTCCCCCGCCTCCTCCCCCCCACCCCCGCCGTTTTATCACGGGAGAAAGAGGCCAGCCAAAAAAACCGCCGTTAGGTCTGACTTCGAGACAAAAAAAAAAAAAATAAAAAAAAACACAAACCTAAAAAAACACCCCCACAAAAAAACCCCACAGAAACTGGCAGCAACGCACAAGGCTCTGAAAACCCCCCCCGCACTGAAAAAGGGAAAACCCGCCGCCTCCGCAGTGGAAAAGGCCTCCAACCCAATCCCCCATAGCGCCAGGGCAGCGCCGCGCCACCCACTCCCTCCCCCCGCAGCAGCAGGGCCCGTTACCTGAGCGGTGCGGACAGGTCCGGACGCGAACAACGAACGACACTCCACAACGGCTGCTGCTCAATGAGACCGCGGCGAGCCCGCCCCGCCGCCTTTATATACCCCCTCAGAACCTTCCAGAAGCGCCCGCCTTCTTTCCCCGCTCCGGCCAATCCGTTTGCGGGTCCCACCACCCTTCCAGCCAATCGCCGCCTGCCGGAACCCGCACCCGTCGTGACGCACACAGGAAGGGGGCGTACCCGCCGGCCGGCCGGTATTCTCGAACCTTCATGCGCTTTCCCCTCGCCCCCCCCCAACAGCCCGCCGCTCCGCAACGGACGGGGGTGGAGCTCTCCGTGCGCGGGAGCCAATCAGAGCCCTCCAGCGGCCGCTCGCGGGTGACGACACCGACGGGCGTAGGCTGAAGGAGGGGGCAGGGGCAGAGAAAGCGCGCCAGCGGGCCAGTAGCAGCCAATCGCAACGCGGCGCCAGGAGGTCGTTTGCATATTGCCCGCGGGAGGGGGACGGCGCCAGAAGGAGCCCGGGGGTGGGAGTGGCCAATTAGGTAGCGGGGCTAGCGGGTTTATTTGCATAGAGGGCGGTAGCGTGCAGGAAGGAGGAAGGGGGAAGGTGGGGGGGAGCACAAGATGGCGGCGCCATGCGGAGCTGGGCTGGCGGCCCGGCCGTGTGCGGGCCCCGGCCCTCCCTCTGCCCTCGGGCCGCCTCCCTGTTCCCGGCAGCGCTGCTCCCTGCGGCCGCGGCCCCTCAGGGCCCGGGCACGGTTCCGCGCAACGGTGACCGGTTAAACACGGTTAATAGCAGAATTAACAGGAGGCGCTGCAAATCCAGGCAAAAAAAAATGAGCGTTTGGTTTCCGACACGAAAGGTGGAGGGGCAGGGGGCTGCGCTGGGAGGTGCCCCCCTGCCCTGAGAGGAATAATGGCATTCCTCCTTTTGATCTTGACGACTCGCTCCCAGGGGCCTCCCAACAGCGTTTGCTTCAGTAAATCTCCCTCAGTACAAGAATATACTGGCAGCGTGTCGCTGCTTTAATCCTCCATGTTCTGTTTTGTAAGGCAGAAGGCAATACTCTCCAATTTCTTTCCCATCCACCCACCCACCCTGGTTCTGAGGAAACCATGCTGCCTGCCGTGTTCTAGGGCACCACCAGTTTCTATACAGAGCAGAATCCAACCTCCAGCTTTTCTCACCCCCATCATCAGCTCAGGGACAAGGTAACGGCCCTTCCTCTGTCAGGGCTGCTCACAGTATGCTGCCAGCATGACTTCAGTGGAAAGGAAACACAGGCTCTGAACAGTGGAAACCGGTGCTGTTCAGTGTCCTTGGGGATTGAGCGCGCAGATGGATGACCGCAAGCACGAAAAAAAAGCTGAAAGCTGATCAAAGGTCATGGATCACGTCAGGTCAGGCTCTAGCAGGAGCGCTGTGAATTGCATCAAATGTTTACATGGCATAAAACGCTGAGCAGAGGGAGTTACTAGGAGGAGGGCTATCCAAAAAACCCTAGCCTGGCCAGCCTCTGTGACCCTATGCAGTGGGAAAAGGGGCAAAGGAACTTCTACAGTTGGGGGTAAAAACTCCACGAAAAAGCATTTTGGGTGTTCTCTTATTCCTGCCCAGAGGGTTGGCCTTAGGCAAAATCACTCCTGGAAACTGCTTAAAAGTCCAGTACTTGAGGGGTGGGGGCACTAACAAATCTCTCCTTTCTGTCTTATCCCAAACAAATGACTGTCCTCTGTGCTACTTCGCTGTGTGCAAGCCTGCATCCTGAGACAGATCGGTGTCAACGTCTCTTTTCTTTCATGGCAATTTTGAATGACATCTACTAGGGAACGTGATGGTACCCTGGACCAGCTGACAGCTGGTAACCCATTATCAGACCAACGTGCAGATTCTCACTGCCACATGCCACCAGGCTGCTGGGGCAGATGTGGTGGGTGTGCTGACCCACGGGAAGTCACTTGTGTGAAGCAACAGTTTGTGCCTCTCATTCGTGCTCTGCCACAGACAGGGCTGGAACCTGAACTGGCAGCTTTGGGTGATGCCAGAAAGTATAGTTGGAACTTGGGTGTACAAGGTTAGAGACGGGAGCAGCAGCAGGAAAAGGAAAGGGGATCTATATCATAGCATGCTAGCTGTCGTTCTCCTGTGCCTTTTTAAAGATAAGAACGGTCAATATGAATCATCTCCCCATATCTGACCAGGTAAGGCATGCAAAGCACACCACCCTGTCCAGAGTACAGGCTGCTGGAGCACTCAGCTCCCAGGGGGATGCCTCTCGGGCACGCAGCACTAACTTGCACGAATGCATTGCACACCAAGTCTCACAGGAGCCCAGCTGTTAGCAGGGGATTGCCTTTGCTTTGGTTTTGTGTGTTTGTTTGGTTGGTTTGTTTTGTTTTGAAATCATGGGCAGAATTTCACTACCTGCACCTTGAAATTAGTGACATTTAGATGTGCAACTGTATATTGCACAGCAGACTGATAGCAAGTGAAGGCAGCCTGAAACAACAGTGAGTCAGTGCAGGGAGGAGGGCAGTTTGGCAAATGACTCATTACACTAGAAATTAAAGGCTGTTAACATATTGGACTAAAGTAGCCCATTTACTGTATTATCAGAAAAATTAAGGCTCGGTAGACCGGACACTGATGAGTATTCTGTGTGGAGGTTTTTTTCAAATGATGTATTCCAACATTATTTTTTTAAGCCAATTTAGTACATTAGAGATCAAGCACTGCTGCCCCTTTAAGCGTTTAAAACAGAACTGGGAAGAGAGTGGAGATTATCAGACACGCTTCCTATTCACAACAGCAGCATTTGTTATTTATGCAACACTTGCATATGCATGCCCCGGCTGAAGTTTGAAAATCATGTATTTCCAAGGCGGTCCCTTCCCTTTCCCACCATGTTCTTCCCCTTCAGTGTGTCAGTACAAACTGATCCAGGTTAAAAATAACCCAAGACTCTTGATACTGTAAAAAAGTATGCAATTGCACAACCCCTCTCAAAATGCGTATCGCCTAATCAGGATTTTGGATGTCATCAACTCAGGAAGAAGCCAGCAACAGCATTTTCTCATGAATCAGGGACAGGCAGACACACCTATGAGACCACTGTGTTGTCACTCTGGTTTGTTTTAAATACTGTGTAATTATGTTGCAATTTTTACTCCCAGATTTCAGTAGAGAATATTGCTGATGTTGGGAGACCTCTGTGCAAAACACCCTTGGGGGAAGAAGGCTGAGGCACTGCAAGAGAAATCAACCACAGTCTCGTTTAGTTACCCTAAATTTCACCTACCTCTCCCTGACTGGAGATTCCTGCTAGCTAGTTCAAAATGTTTAACTGCAGAGAGGATCTAACCTGTCTGAACACAGATCTTAGTGGCTCAAGGTTTCATTGTCATCTCACGTCCAGTTCGGGAGGTGAACCGAAATGCAGCGGGTGCTTCAGAAGCAAGGTCGCAGATGCAGGAGTGGGAGGACAGTGTCACTGCACGTTTGTATCTGTGCTGTGTCTGCGCTGACACTATTTACCATACTAGCTTGAAGCATCTTACATCCTCAGCCAAAACATCTCGGGTGAAATAGCAGCATGGAAGTCAAAACACCATTTACTTAAAAACACCCCAAGGTTTCACATATTTCATACCATGTCACATAATTTAGACTGGAAAAATACCCAGCAAAAAGACCAGCTTCCCCACACTTCCTATGTACCTATGCACATAGTCCCTGTTAGCTTAAAAATGGTATTTTTGACTCCGTACTTTTTTTCCTTAGATTCCTTGACAGCATGTAACACATCATACCACAGAAGATGGAGCATTAGTACAAGTTTAGCTGAGCTGTAGCACTTCAGCTGCAGCACATTTATTTATAAAAAAACACAACCAAAAAAAAAAAAATTACGAAATCATTGATTCAAGGGAATCAATAATAAATATTTCCTCTCAGTTGTTCAGACACAGTACAAGTACACCGATTATAACAGGTAGAAGAGATGTAAGCTCAGTTTAGCTGCTGAGAAACAAAAGAAAGTTACATAACGTTGTATGCATTTAATCACACTAGTAATAACTGGTATATGACAATAAATGCTTTAAGTACACTATTTTACAAAATAGAGTTTGGCTTATGGTTCATTTGCTTCCCTTGTGCAACTCCTGATAGTATGATCTGGAGCTCAGAAAAATGTCCCTTTTAAAACAGAATACCTTTGAAACGATCTCTTTCTCGTATTACCTTTGAGTAATGAACTTTCTCCCTTTGGGCTTCATGCTAACAACTGAAGCGCAGCACTGACTTTGTGTTCACCTGTGAGATCACGGATGTGTGATCTGAAAAGCACCACGTTTCAGACTTAGTGATATTAAGCCGCCGTGGTGCCCATGCTCTCTAACCAGGGCCACACATCTTTGCACCTTTGTTCTATGGCAGGAGATGGTCACGGTGCTTTTTTGGACACGGTTTGTACCCAGGGCAGCCTGCACACTTACCGCCTGCTTCCCGACAGGGCTAGGAACACCCAGGGATGATCCAGGCTTCAGCAACCGCTTACGACTAACAACTTCCTTACCCCAAGGTCCATAAACGTTTCATCCCATGCAATCAGATAGCTCATATGACAAGGAGTGACTTTTCTGCTCCAGGAGAGGTTTGCCACAGCTGATCTGTCCTGTAGCCTATTCCCAAGGGCCTCTGGAAGGCACTGCCAGGAGCAGGCTGGGCAATTCTCCTAGCCGGCAGCAAGTGGCCTTTGGGCTGTAGACAGAACATCCTCCTCTTCACTAATTGCAAGGCTGGCCTGTGACTCAACGCTAACCTGCAGTATTTAGTACTTGGATTGTAGCCAGCTCAACTGTTTGTCACCCTCATTTTGCAGTAATAAGCTTCTGGCTGCTCAGGCATGTGCTCTTTACCGAGACAAGCACTCCTGGTTTTGTATGCATAGAATAAGTATCCTCAGATGCAACACAGGTAACATTAAGCACAGTAAGCAACCATAGCAGCCACAAACTACTTCAGCAGTCCTGCTGATGCTCTTCGGGACTTTCCCAGCTCTGGAGTGCCTGAGCCTTCAGGGTCCAGGAAAAGAGCAACTGCAGAGGAATTACAGACACTTAGAGCTGCTGCTCCCAAGCAGTGACAGCCACTACCAAAACAGAGCTGATCTGGGAACGTGCCACTGGAGTATCCGAGGAAACTGTCTAGGTAGAATGACGCAGTATCCAACACCAGGAGCTGTGACGGAAGTCGAAGCTTATCAAACACCTAATACCAGATACCTCCTTTGTTTAAATCAGTGACTCGAGGCTGCCTTCCCTGCACAACAGATCAGTACTTTTGTCCTGCCAAGGGTGGCTGGGTTGACTCCGGGGTAGAGAGAGCAAGTGAAATTTTGGTACATGTGATGAAAATGGGTGACTGCTCCTAGGAAGAGAAGTTCTTCGATAGTATAGGGCAAGTTGGAAGAATATTTCCCATAAGGAAGTAGCCCAAGCAGGGCTTGGCTATGATCAGATTGTCTAAGGTCTCAAGCAAAGAAGCTAGAATTCTGTGTCTCAGTCAGAAAAAGAAATTCATGACATCTGTCCCTGGTGTGAAAGAATTATAGATTTGTGGTTCATCTGTGCTGATGATCCATCTCCTGGAGAATCGTTCCACAAATTGCAGAAAATCATCCCTCCCTTAAATGGAAAACCCTCCTTCATTTTTTTTTAACAGAAAATCATCAGTCCAAAAATACAGGAATCTAGAACCTACAAGCTCAGTGTCTTGTGTATAGCAGTGGTCAGAGCCAACTCCTTCAGAGGAAAATATAAACAACAGATCTGCCTCTGGAGGAAGCCCATCCCTATCTCCCGTCGTTTCCTATTAGCCTTCAACTTGAAATGTAAAACTTCATATTCCTTGGAAGTGTTTATTCTGGCTAATTTAATCACAGTAAATATTTTTATGCTTCTTGCAATTTTTTTAAGAGTCATGCTACCATTTAAGCCTCAACAATAGCACGTGGCCCAGCGTTTGTTGTACAAACGGGACAGTGCACACAAATATTTTCTAATGGAAGCAGCGTTGTGTTTGTTTACCTGCCCCAGGTGTATTTTTCTCACTACGTGCTCTGTCACTCTAGTCTTACCTGGATGCCTGAAGGTCAGCTCAAGAATGCTGTTTGTTCAGTCCTGGGAAGAGCTCTCCATAAAGCTTCCACAGCATGGATCACCCCAAAACTGGTGAATTCACAACCTGGCAACAGCAAAGGTATCTTCCAAATGCTTCGTCCAGGCTTTTTGGTAGATTAGTGGCCCTCACTTTTTGATGTACCGCCTTCATTCTGGATTCACTGCCCAATTCTCATCACACTAAGGCTCCTTTGCCACAGACACCACTCAAGTGGAGTTACTGCAGCTTTGCAGTGCTGACCATAGCAGCAGAGTCAGGCTCCTGGCCATATCTCTCTGGCTGCGTCATTAAGTTTATTTGGGTAATTAAAGCACCTATATTTCCTTAACATAAAGGGTCCTTTCTCTTTAGTACACAGGTTAGTTCAGACACATGCCTTAATACTGCATCTCTTGACTTTTTTGAGTGATTCTTCTGGTTCCACTTTAGTTACAGCCTCCAAAAGCATTTCACTAGAAGACTGAATGCAGAAAACGTGAAGTGCTTCCCTTTGAGGTTGAACACCAGACTACCCTCAGCAAAGAGTCTGCCTTAAAATCTTCAGAGAAGGGAATGCATCTTTGAGAAAGTTCTCCAAAACCAGTACATGAGACTTTTCCCTCCCCACAAAACCTCTCTGGAATATTTTGCAACTCTGTGTCTCTCTTGATCGCTTTTAAAAAATCCTGAGGTTTGGCTTCATTTAATTTGTACAGCACTTAGCTGTTGTAGTTTTAAAATGCTCAGTATTCCATTTCCAAAAAAAATAATTTATAAAGAAGGCTCCCATTTCCTTCAAAAAAAACAAATTCTCTCTCAGAACCTCAAGTGCTGGAAGATGCAAGAAAGAATTGAGTGTGTGTGGGGGGGCTTCTTGTGGTGTGAATAATCACAAGTGATTGAAATCAAGCTGACCAGGAAGATAACTAGCTAATCTAACAATTCCTATGCAGCTGGTGGTACGTGAAGTGTTTATGGACAGCAGTGGTCTCCAGAGGGCGAGTGAGACATCACACGGTCTGGAACGCTCGGCTTTGGGCAGGCACCATGACCAGCGTCGCTCCCATTTTCATCAGGTTAGTGTAGTCGACTTTCTTGGGCTCAATTTCTTTTCCCACCGTCTCCCTCTGGTTGTACTGGGGAGGAGTGAGATGGGGAGTAGCTTCCGTTGACAAAGTCCGTTGGCTGCGAGAGGCACTGTTGGCTGTCGACCTGGTTGAGGAGGAACCTGAGCGTGAGCTCCTGGAACCAGAGGAAGAGGAACTGGGCTTGACAAGATGGGCCTTGGGTGCCTCTGCATCTTCTCTGCAATCAAACAGATGACAGGGCTCAAATACCATGAGAACAGAAGCACATAAACATTTTACCAGACTGAACTGCTGCTGCAATAAGCAGTTGCTTACTGAAGCTGCAAATCGCCAGGGCATATTTGTCCAGCAGTTTGAGCAAGGTACAGGGTTTTCTGAATTCTGGGCCATGTAACTCTGCAGACTGAACCCCCTATTGCTCTGTGGAGCTATTGGTCAAATGGATTTAGAATACACGACTGGCTTTCTGTGCACCGCTTTGAGGTCTGTGGAACAAATGCCAAGTGTCAGTGCAAACAGTTCAGATAGAACTGTCTGCTCTGTAATCCTTACTCATAATGACAAATGACCTAGACAGCACTAGCTGAGACCAGTTCTTCTAGTTAAGAAAAAAAAATGTAGCTACTGAAAGAAGTGCAAGAACTGGGCCCAGAGAGAGAAGAGGTAACAGTTATGCATGAAAAGGTGATGCAAGAGGCTGAAGCTTAAACTAAAATCAAAAGGTGTGTAAGATTTGAAAGCAGATAGAACAAGAAAAAGGGAAGGGAAGAAAATCAGCAGAGACTACCTTCTTGCTGGCAATTTGACCATCAGGCAGAGTAATCAGCTGCTGAATGTCATACGATGTCACACGAGGGCAGGCAGTCTTTTACAAATACACATAAGGATTGACCAAGGCAAGGACTTTCTCCAAGGGCAGAGGCAGCTAGAACGTACCTCTGGAAATACCTTTTTCCAGTGCTTTCCTTCCTGAGAAGTTTAGGCTCGATTGGCTGGAGACCAATCTCTGCTTAGGGGAGTTAAGTGGCAGACCTCACACGCATGGAACAGATGAGCACAAACAACCTGCGTCAGCATTCCTGGTACACCCGCTCAGGGCGAGGCTTCTCAGCTCCCCACACAGCAGCTCAGGGGATTTTTCACCCTGAGCTAAATCCAGAAGCACAGTTGTTCAAAAGACTCAAGAAAGACTGTGAGAACCTGCCTGCTTGGTACCATTCCCAGCAGATATTGCAATTGAAAATAAAAAAACCCAAAACCACAACAAACAAACCTCTCAGAACCACAATAGACAAGTAGGTTGAATTTAGTACTGGAGAGGATTAAGCAAATGCTTTAAACTGGTGAAATTTCAAGTGTGAGAGAATATTTTGTTGAGTTTTATGCTAATTTGTCCTGGGTGGTGGGAAGACATTTTTATCTACCTATTTTTCTGGAAAATCTTCACAGAGATTCTCACAGTCAAGAAATATTTCGCTGGTATTTCATGGAGACTTTAAAAGCTTTTTAAAACAACCTTTTAGGAGACTTATACCTAGTTTACTTAAAACCGTAGTGAAAAGATCTGTAAAACTGAAAGAAGGGAGGGTGGGACATGGGGGGATTAAGTAAAAGGCCTTACCTGATTTCATTTGGTGCCTCCTCTTCCTCATATCTCTTCTTTTCTTTCCTCCTTATTGTCAGCCTCACCACCAGGAAAAGGAGGGAAAGTCCCAACACCACGCCACAAACTGCTCCAGCGATCATGCCGACATTCTGTGCATCTGTTGTCCAGAAAACCAACATGTTAGTTGGTAACCTCTCACTAGGGCCGTACGGTCAGATTCTAGTCCACACTACAACTTTTAGCACTGGGTATAAATCAGAACAGCATGCATTAATCTACTTATTTAGGTGTGTCTCCACACAGAAGTTGAACCAGTTTATCTTCAGGCACTGTTTCTAAACCTGAGCTAACAGTGAGAAAAGTATTCACCTCTGGAAGGGTGGGATCACCAGTGCTATGCCTTCAGCCGTGGGTCAGAATTGAGGAGGAAGAATCCTCTTGTAAGAGCACAGAACCACAGAAAGTGCAGAGTCAGACAGGACAACACGCATGTGAAACAAAGCACCAGGCAGTTTCCTACAGGCCGAAGAGTGTTTGAACTATGAAAGTTTCCCCATGAGGATTTTTTTTTTTCCCCCTTCACCTCACACTGAAATGATTACAATCCACTTGGAGAATGAATTATTCAGCTGGGGAAAAAAGTGAACCGTGGAGGGTAGAGAGGAAGGAGGAAGGGAAGACCATACTGTGCAGGTACAAGGCATTTTTCACCCAAAATAGCAAAGTTAATGAGAGCATGCTTCCTAGCATATATGGGCCTTTAGCTGATACTTTACGACAACTTCTTCTGGTAAGAGTGGTTAGGATGGTTTCGGATAAAAGTTATTTCCTTAAGGCTCATCCCTACAGAGAGTTTATCAAACCAAAGTGAGGTTTTAGAACAATTCAGTTCAATTGGCATAAAAGCTGCCTGGACGCTTTTACTTCAGATGCCTGAGGCGAACAGGTTTTCCTTGCTGTGTGACCATATTCCAATTATTTCAGGTCTGGCCAGGCAGAAAAATGCCAAAGCTATAGAATCTCCAAGAAGAGACTTCTCTAGTAGCAGTCTTTTATCACAGCAGTTTCAGCTCCTGCTGATCTCCCCTGAGCGCTGATAAAAACCTGCCAAACCATATTGTCTGGATTTGTCTTCAATGCTCCACCTTCTTCCTTGCATGCATATGTAGATGCATACAGTTACCTAGGCAATGCACACACCCTTGATGGGGTTAATCAGGCAGGACACTGATTTCAATCTCTGGTGTTCAGGACAGAATTTATTAAATCTGGATTAAAACCAAACTATGTCAAAAGTTGCCTTTTATTCTGCCCATTACTTCACGCCAAAGTCAGCCTTTCCAGCTGCCTGTAGATAGTTTACTGTCCCAAGTGTGAATGATACATTATGTGGGATTGGAATGATGGAGTATCCACATGGAGATTTTATAATTGAGAGTAATCTCGTGCAGTCACTCCACAGCCAGAAGTCCCTCAAAAGCTGGAGACTCTGGAACCTCTAACTCACTGTTTTTTCCCTTGTATTTCACTACTCATTCTCAAAATCAAAATTTCTAACAGACCAAAACACCTGAGCCCAAACGATGCTTTTACCCCTTTTGGTTATATAGAGAACTGCTGTGCAATAAATACGAACAACTTCATGGGATTCAGGTCTGAAAGGGCAAAGGTGTGACACAGAGTTTTACTGGTCGAGACGGGACAGCTGTGAAGCAGCACTGCTCGTACCGTGGTGCGAACACTAGTTATGTGCCAATACTTACGCTGCACTGTCACCTGAACAACACAGCTTTCTTGTCCCGCCTCGTTGGTGGCTATGCATTGGTACAACCCTGTGCTCATCTGCGTAAGATTCTTCAGTAGGACTTGCCCGGGATTAGAAATGTCTGAAACAGGAAAAGCAACACTGGGATTAATCAAAAAAAGACGAAGAAACTTCTACAGTGAATAGGACACAGAAGCACAAATTGAACTTCCGGATCAAATCAGTTCAAGAACAGTCACTGGTGCCTCATTTGCCAACCTTCAGCAAAACACTAAAACTCCTCATGCACCTCCTTGCTCAGGATGGAGCACACCGCAGCGTCCAGCTGCAGTAGTGACAGCTACTGTCACAGCGTTGCTCTCGCTGCCACCAAGTGATCCCCATTCGAAAAGCAGGCACGTGACTGTGCGTCTACGTTATTTTGAGTGTATCAAGAGCTCTAAGAGGAAATGACCTGACTTACTGACTCTTGATGTAGGTGGGAGAGGTTCAGCTCTCTCGTCTTCCTCATTTATGCGCTGCCATCGGTAGGAGATGGGTGCAGTGCCAGAGGCAGAACGGCACTGCAAGGACAGCTCCTTTCCTTCCAGCAGCTCCCCTTCTAGCCAGCATTTGGGCTTGGAAGGTTTTTCTAGAAGAAACAGAAGACCGGTCATTCAAATGCAGCATACAGAAACCTTTTCTTCAGCAAAGTACGAAATTTAGGCAGCTTCCAAAAGCTGCCCCCTCTGGAGTACATTAAAGACCAGTGATGTTTGTTAGGGGACTTTAGCTGCAACTGTGTGCAACTTCATAGTCTAAGAAGCAGAGCTGGCTGGCTCAGACATCGAAAGAAGACATTGTAATACTCTGGGGCAGTTTGCCTCATGGATACTCGCATCAGCAGAGCTGTATCACGGCATTCCTCTTCTAGGTACTATTTAGAGAACATCTTTTCCCTCCTCGCTACTTCTCTGTTTCTTCCTTCTTCCCACAGCATCTGGCCGGTCACAGCACTTCTGGTGACAGAGTATGTGAAAAAGCCAACCAATAAACTGAAATCAGGGGAGAGAAATGCTAACCCCAGCAGCTTATTTGTCACCTCCAACTACTTGGATCAGTCTGGGGTCCTGGGACATGAACCCAGAGTCCTCAGCAGGAGATCTGGACAGGGCAATCATCAGCTAAGATAGAGTATCAGTCTAGTTTGTGTGATGAGATCATAGAGACAATTTGGAAAGCACAGTTCATATGATTTTGCAAGTGATTATACTTACCTCAAACCAGTTCTTTAGGCTCTTCCTGTGTCCTGTCCTTTGCCAAAAAAATGCAAAGGCAGATATGGAGTTGGACAGTGAAACCTGATCGTGAAATGTCTTTGTATTTATACCCTGCTGAAATAAATCCCTCTCCAGGAAATGAGTACAGCTATTTTTTTCTTTGGAAGTACACTAAAATGACCTTACCTACAACCTTCAGGGTGATGCGAGCCCATTCGTACTGTCCAGCATTTTTAACCTTACATATGTACTTCCCCGCATCGCTGGACTGCAGGGATACGATTTGTAAGGATGCATCTCCAGCCAGGAAGTTGGATGTGAAGGAAACGCGCCCTTTCTGTTCCTCATTCAGGTCATCATACACACGGCCTCCAGAATAAGTGATTACCTGAGGAGCAGAGACAGTCACTGATCAGCCAGCTGTAATTTTACTTTCACACAGAAGAACAAATCAAAGCATTTCCAGGAACTGCAGACTAAGGTTCTGCACGGATAAGTGGCTTGCCAAAGGTTATACAGAAAGCCTGTGGCAGGGTGGAAAATTAAACCTGGATTTCAAGTCTGAGATTGATACGTAAACAGTATTTATGCTAGAGATTTATACCGGAGGATTTCCACCAGTGTCAAAATAACATCTGTTTATGCCACAGTATATAAAAGTAGTCTTTAATTCTGGCTAGCTAAATTACTGCAGACCTGATTTTTGTAAGTACTAAACTACTACATTTTTTCCTGAAACCAAGGTTTCAAAAAGTGGGCCTACAAAATCCAAGGTCATTTTTGAAAGTGTGAAGGACAATTCTGAAGTTTATCCAATGATGACTGATTAAATAACAGTGTGTAAAGAAAACTCAATTGTAACACAACCTGTTCCAATACAGCTTGCATAAATTTCAAATAACTTTTATATGTTTAAGTCTTTCTAAATAATTCATCTGTGTATTCTAAACATGGCTTATTTAATCAGAATAATTTGCAAAAATGATCACAGATTTCTCTTTAAATCAATGGCTGCTGCTGATGTCAACATAAAAATAAGACGATTTTCTCAGCAGATGCTAATTATGGCTGAACCTACCGCTTTCTGTACTGTTTCCGAAATGTGCAGGAGCCACTCAATATCCAGGCTCCCTTGCTCCAGGAGGCCCAGGCGGTGGTGGCAGGGCAAAGTCACGTTTTCTTCAGCCACTCTCTTAAATTCAGTCTGAGCCCTGGACAGCCAAACAGAGCAGGAAGCTGAAAGACAGATGCCGGTTGTCAGAGGCCAGGATTAAGGATGCATCCCTGAGCTGACAAGTGTTGCTAACTTAGGTTTCCCTAGATTCTTCCTCATTTGCTTCCTAGCATCAAAGAAAACCCAACAGCTTGGCTTCCTGGGCAGATTACAGCCGATTAAAAGGGACATCTATACATATATAGGCAGTTAGTTTCACACTAATATTGAAGTTTGAAGAACAGATGGCTTTACACTCCAGAGCTGTCAATACTAAAGTTGCACCCACATCCTCTATGCACTCAACATTTCAGATAATCTCCTCAGTTTTGCCTTCACCTTTTATTACTTTAATTTGTAAGCAGTATTTCCACCCAGAAAACCTTCAAAGCCCATCGCTTTATTCCCATGCCAGTTTGACAAGGCTTGGAGTCACTTCCTTAATTCTGGATGATGTTACATGCAGTTCAGCACTGGAATTAAGAGACCAGCCTGGCAACAAGAGGGTTAAAGAAGAAATTGCCAGGCTGACCCACTAGAGGGAAGCAAAGCCTTTTAAATGTTAGCCAGTAAAACCCGAAATGCATGGTAACTCCCCGAAACCTGGAGCAGGAGCCGGAGCACCGCAGAAAACCCTGATGTTCAACCAACACTGCGTCAGTCACTGTGAAACTCGCACTTTCTTTCCGACTTTCTATGCTGCATCCCTGCTAAAACTGAACAAAATCAGGATCAATTCTTGGCTTTGCCCAGGTCCAACTTTTGGTAAGACATGAGACTCACCGTGGTAAATTCAAACTCAATTCAAACTGACCCAAAAGATCAGAGGTATGGAAAACAATGGGCATGTAGGTCAGGGGCCCCCCAGGTCTGCTGTGACACCAAAGAAGAAAGTTTTCCAGCCAAGTTCCCATGGGGGTTTCTGGGGCACAAATGCCACTTGCTTTTTCTGTATAAATCTTCAGAGTGCAGTTGAATTGTTCTTAAGGTTTGCTGTGCAAGAAGAAAGCCTAAAAGCAGTTGTTGTGTTTTTTTTTTTTCCCCTGTGAAATGAAGTGAGATGAAATATCTTGCTTCTTGGACCAGTTATTGTGAAACTGGTGAAAACCGGGAGAGTTGGCAGCACCAGGAAGTCATGTTTGTGACTAAACACACAATCCTGTGATTACATAGCAAGATTACTGGCAAGAGCATAAGCAGTTCTAGTTACATAGGCTGAATCTGTATTTAAATAGTGGATCTTTAACCTTCCATTTACCTTTAATTAAAAAAAAAAAAAAAAAGCCAAAACAACAAACAAAACACAAACCAGGAAAAATTAAATCCAACATGATACTTCCTCAGCTTTTTCTGTTTAGTTCAGGACTAACTCTGACTTTAGAAAATTCAGTCTGTTCCTGCTCCCATTCTCAGATCTGTGTCTGAGTTGTTAGTATGACCATCCCTCAGCTCTTGAGCTTCTGGTACTTAATACTTGCCACAGACTTGCACAGAAGGTATCTACTACGTGCACGTACATATATAAAACACCTAAAATTTTAAGAGAGGTGGAGTCTTGCAAAGGATTAAGCTCTCCTCTCCTATGTAGATCTCTGCGTAATTGATGAGAGTGAAAGCTCCTTTTCAGCCACATTAGCTGCTTTCTTTAAAGGGAAAATTAATCCAGTTTATCACAGGATTCATTAGTCTCAAAGCTCCATCTGCCAAATACAATTACATGTTCTGCCTAAGATGGACGCCTGCTTTCTCCTACAGCCCACATTGCTGCGGGCTGCCTTCATTAACACGCTGCCCCGTGCTACATGACTGGTCAATAAGTGTAATTTAAGCACCACAATAGCGAGCATTCACATAACACTTGCAATGTTTACAAAGCCCTGTGCCAGTGGGGCACTGAGGTTTTGTGGGCACCTCATAAGCTATTCTACATTTTTAAATGTAGCTTTACATTAAAAGCCTTGATGAAGATTATAAATCACCTTCTGAGGAACTATAACAAGCATGATTTTCATTCCTGTCTGGTTTGGATAGGCTTTTCTTAGGAGCGCTCACACCTTGATCTGGTTCTTGTTGCCCCTCAGAAAACGTGCTCTGGATGTTTAATAGCGAGCCTGTGCCTATAAATTCATCTTCTAAATGGGAGTAAGACCAGGGAAATATCCAGTGAGATAGTGACTGCAAATTGCTGAAGCACCCTTTGTTTTTTCAAAGGTACGTGCAATCAGAGATAATTTGGAGAAGATTCTCCACTGAACTGACAACCAGATTGTCACACACATTACATACTTTTCTATGACACATCTCTCTTACTAAAAAAAACACCAAACTTGTCCTTTTAGTCCTTATTCTTTAATAATGCCCACAAGGATGTCGGTAAGTTTTGCAGATATTCTAGACAAGACCCTCACTTTATATTCTTTCCAGTCATCTATACCTGGACAGAGTGAAAAGGAAGCTTGAAGCACCACTTCATAAAAGCATCCAAGATAGGGTGCCAGTTATGGAAATCACCCACGAAAAATCTGAAAAGAGCCCAAGGTGAACAACCTCACGCCTTTCAATAGTTTGGGTAGGGTCTCACTGTAACAAGCAGTGATGACATGGAAGTTTACCTTTAGATCCATGATGGAATTTACAGTATATGCCTCATCAAGAAAAAGGAACTAGAAAACACATTCAAGATCTCTCTAGGTTCTTTTAAGTGTTTTGTTATTCAGTAAAGAACAAATGCCCTCTGAAGTTCTCTTGTATTTGCATAGATGAGACCTAGCAAGAACCAAAGAAGGAGGATTTTGCTCATAGCGTTTTTACCATTTATTTCTGCCCCTCCTCAGTTTAAGTTTCATTTAAATGAGCACTAAAGGAAAGCATCTGCTTACAGACAACCCCTTACAGCATCAAACACCTCCCTGTACCGGCCAGGACACATATTGACCATATTGCAAAAGCAGGTGGCTCCTGGCCAGCACTTTCGGTGTGCTGGGTGGGCGCACAACTGGCTCCATGCCTTTCCGCCTTAAAGAGCTTCGCAGCCACAGGAGGGCAGAGCCTACTCAGAGTAAAGCCTGAAGGGCTGGCTCCAACAGACAATAGATTTAGACAATAGAAAATTTTCCCAGAAGTTGGATTCAAGGGTCTCGCTCAGTAATGCCACATATATGCAGGCTCCGCAGTTCTTACCCCCAAAACCCTCTTCCCCTTCCACATCCTGCGTGCAGCTCTTTATGCTGCAAAGAGCAATTCTGGAATTGTGTCTTTTGGCCTTACTCAGCCTCTGTCCCATGACTTCAGAGGGAGGGTGGTTTGTTTTTCCTGCAGGGTAAGAACCCCACAACATTTTGAAAGCATTGGCCGAGGGCCTAAAAAACAACAAAAAAAAAAAAGTATTGGGTGCAGTGCCAGGCTTGCTGACACACCACAGGCAATGCAATGTTCTGTATTTGGGGGCGGGGGGAGACTATTGTAATGTTTAAATGTTTGCTCTGTTGTTCAGAAGACAATAACTCACCCAACACCATGCAGACAAGGGAGAAAGATTATTGTCTTTCATCCCTCACTGATGTCTTAAATATCCAAGAAAGAAAGAGCAAGAAATATTTTAAACAACACCCAAGCTAACGCACACCTAAACTGGCACAAGCAGATTTACTAGGGGAAGGGCAGAGATTGGGCCAGGGCACACAAAGGGCTTTTTAGCCCTCTCAGTAACAGGCCACTCTGGCCTTGCATGCATAGCAGATTTTAAGGAAATAAAAAAACCTGTGGACAATATCCTGCATCTTTCTCATGCAAAGATGTCAGTCTTACAGTATTTCCCAGAACTCATTTCAACATTTTTGAAGGACTAATGATCCTTAATGCTTATTGTAGGAGGGTTTAAATTTCAGGGAAGTTAGCCCTTTGAGATGGATGTAGAGGGAAGGAACCATCTCCTGTGCGATGCAGTGAATGCTGAGCAAATTGGGACTGTGTATTTGGCCGTATCACAGATCATGACAATCCAATGCAGTGTTTTCATGGCTGAATCCTCAACGTAACCACAGAGACTTTTCTATACATGCTATTATGAAGCTCAGTTTATTCTCATGACCATCCAATAACAAGTATATGTATATACACAAAAGCACATATATACCAGTAACATCAAATACATATATGCATACAAGCAGAATCAAAGTGAAAATAAATGTTTTGCTGACGTTTTTATTTGTAGGCAAATTCATGTGCTAAAAGCTAAAGAGCTTCCAGATTTAAATCTTTCATTACGTTCAGAAGGTTTGAATTAGGGAGCAATGCTAAATATAGATTATACTTTTTAAAAAGTAATAAGTTGTGCTATATCATTTAACTACTGGAATTAGGTGGAAGGGCCTCGAAAAGCCTCAGAGAATTGAGATACAAAAAAATCCATAATGATGCTTTGTAGACCTGGCCCAAACCATACCTACACCAACTTCATCCAAAATGGGTCTTGAAAAATTTCAATTGCTCCAGGAACATCTGTGAAGTTTTTTCTTCAGCTACACTTTTTATAATTTATTTTGGCTTTTTATTGGAAATGACATTTGTAACAGACTGTTCCAAGTCACTGATGTCCAAGGAGGAGTAGAAATGCAACCTGTAATTTTCCTGCAACTTGAGACATCCTGTACCAGCACCAGACAGAGGGAAGCGACTGAGAGCAAGGGACTCAAACCTGCAGCTAAGGAAAGCTTTCTTTGGTACAATAGTGAAAGGCAGGAATTCCAATAGTATCTACACACAGAGGTTATAGCACTGCCTGCACAATTTCCATTTCACCTGTGATAGGTGCTCTGTCTGCTTTTGTTCATTAATATCGAAATGTTTCCTGGATGAAAGTGTGGCAGGAACAGTGAACGGCCGCTGTTTTCAAGGTGCATCACATCCTCTCTGACAGGAGAGCAGTCCCCTGCAGACAAATTCTCAAGCGGAACCAATAATTTCGTGGTCTGATTTTGAGTCCTTCTTGGGACACTCTTAAAAATTATTTTCACATCTGTGT